TTTGCAAAGCTGGTGGCTCAAAATGTCTGCAGGTAGGAGTCCCCCAGGTCCCCCAAGGGTCAATACTTGGTCTGGTCTTGTTCAGCCTATTCATCAATGAACTGGACAAGGGGACAGAGTGTATCCTCAGCAAGTTTGTTGATGATACCAAACTGGGAGGAGTGGCTGACACTCCAAAGGTCTGTGCTGCCACCCAGCATGACCGGGAAAAGCTGGAGAGCTGGGCAGAGGGGAACCTAATGCCAACAAAGGCAAGTTTAGGGTCCTGCATCCAAGGAGGAAGAACCCCATGTACCAATATAGGTTAGGGGTGGACCTGCTGGAATCCCAGATTGCATAAGGAAGAGTGTGGCCAGTAGGTCAAGAGAGGTCATTCTCCCCCTCTACTCTGCCCTGGTGAGGCCACAGCTGAAATACTGCATCCAGTTCTGGGCTCCACAGTTCATGAGAGACAGGGAGCTACAGGAGAGAGTCCGGAGGAAGGTGATAAAGATGACTGGGGGACTGGAGCATCTCATGAGGAAAGGCTGAGACCATTTGGACTCATTTAGCCTGGAGATGAGAAAGCTGAGGGGAGACCTTATTAATCCCTCTAAGTATCTAAAGGGTGCGTGCAAGGAGAATGGAGCCAGACTCTTCTCAGTAGTTCCCAATGACAGGACAAGGAGCAATGGGCACAAGCTGGAATATAGGATGTTCCGTTTAAATATGAGGAAAAACTTCTTTACAGTGAAGGTGATGGAGCACTGGAACAGGCTGCCCAGGGAGGCTGTGGAGTCCCCTTCTCTGGATGCTGTCCTGAGAAATGTGATCTAGGCAATCCTGCTTCAGCAGGGGAGTTGGACTAGATGATCTCCAGAGGTTCCTTCCAACTCTGACAATTCCATGATTCCATGAAGAGAAGTCTATGACAAGGCTGACATGATGTTACTATCACCCAGGATTGTCCTTGCCAACAGACCTACACAGGCTCTGGTTGTCTCCTCCCCACTTCTTCCAGTGCAGCTCTAGACCTGCTTCTGCTCCTCTGCAATGTCATTTGATGAGTAATAAGCTCAGTAGCGCACTGGCAGAATCCTGATCAGCTCAGGAGGCAGAGTGCTCTTGCAAGTGCAGTCATGAGTAACATTGATGTATATTAAAGCAATGGTCACAAGTGCTATTCACCATCTGAAGAGATGGAAAAGGCAGTCAATGAATATGAGAAACAAATGCAGATAAAAATAGTTATGTTTAAACCACTGTAATATACCTGTCAACAAGAAAATCCCTATTAAACAAGCCAGTGACAGTTCATTGAATGGGCAGCCTGGACCATCTTTGGGCTGCAGTTTGAGAGCACAGCAAAGCCCTGCTGGTACCCATAAGGTGCTGTGGAAGTTCCAGGACAGGTCTTGTTGGGCTGGCTTCCAGTAGCTAAGCAAGCCTCAGCAGAAAGGGCCAGAAACACTAATACAGTCTTGGGGACAACAGGCACATCATACTAGAATTTGTAATGAACAATCAAGTTATGAAAAGACCAGAAAAGGTCTGATTTTAAACCTTTAAGGAAAGGTGTTTTATCTTCTAAAAGAAAGATAAAACTGGAAAAGTGCCTCTCTTGCTCTTCCCTTACTGTCTTCCGTTTTATTAATTATTTGAAAGAAGTGTTGTAACAATAGTAATCTTCTATAAATTCAATAACAATTTTGTTATTTTATAGGAAGCGTGTTTGCTGTGACTGTGGAAACCCAACTGTTAGAATAAACTTGCTTCCTTGACACCTCCCTCTTATTTTTTTCTTGAATTCTTAAAGCAATGCTTTGCTTTGTTCTGCTTTCCTAGTATTCTTGAGCAACTCCAAGGTGTTCACAACTTCCCACAATTTCTGGTTGAATATAAGTTTCACAATAAAGTCATTCTAGACTTTTTTTCATTCTTTCTTGAATAAGCTTTGATGCATTTGTTTGAGTCTCTCCTGCCACCCGGTATTCTGCATTGAGATCCAGGATCCATGCTGTTTGCTCCTCATTGATATTTTCTCTTTTGCAGGTGTTTGGTGGGACTCCTAAGCTGCATCAGAAATCTACAGAAATCACATTTGTGGTGGCTGTGAATTCTCTCATCTTGGGCCTTATGTCATTTTGTGATGGCTTGAGGATGCTCCTGTTGAAAAGCAAACTACTGAAAATGCACTTTCCTCTAGCTGGCTTGTTGCTCTACATTCCCACCCTCCTGTTCTGCCAGACAGACTCACCTGGTTTAGTACACAAAACTCTATAGTGTTTGCCTTCACAAAACAATTATTCTCAGAAACCTCTCATTTGCTGAAGATCATCTTTTACTACAGAGCTGGAAGGTTGGCTCAACTTCAGTATTTTACATGATACAGAATCACAGAATATATTTTGGTTGGGAAAGACCTTTAAGATCATCATTAACCCAGCACTGCCAAGTCCACCACTAAACCATGTCCCTAAGCACCACATCTATACATCTTTTAAATACCCCCAGGGATGATGACTCGACCGCCTCCCTGGGCAGCCTGTTCCAGTGCCTGACAAGGGTTTCGGTGAAGAATTTTTTCCTAATATCCAATCTAAACCTCTCTTGCTGTAACTTGAGGCTATTTCCTCTTGTCCTATCACCTGTTACTTGGGAGAAGACACCAACCCCCACCTCACTACAGGTTCCTTTCAGGTAGTTGTAGAGAGCCATAAGGTCTCCCCTCAGCCTCCTTTTCTCCAGACAGAACAAACCCAGTTCCTTCAGATGCTCCTCATAGGGCTTGTGTTCCAGACCCTTCGCCAGCTTTGTTGACTTTCTTTAGACATTCTCCTCAGTCTTTCTTATTGTCCTGAATTTGCACTCACTGTGCTGCAAGAAAGAACAATGCATGTATGAAGTGTGATTTGAATGTAAATGTTCAGCATGCTTTTGCTAATTTGTCATTTGAAAAGGGACTTAGACTTCACTCATGAGTACTGCAGTAATTGTACTTCAAGGCAGAGGCTTGTCTGTTTTCTCCAAATGTGAACCATTCAACTACTAGGATGTGTGTCTGGACTTTTTATTACAATGTTGTAATAGGATTCCTCCTTCTCCAGGGGGTCTTTTAAATATAGCTATATTTCTATATATAAACACATACACATTAAAAAGTTTTTTGCTGTGGGGGAAGAGGGCATTGAGTCAAAAATCCTAGGTTTTTATATATTTTATTCATAAAAACAGATTTGCAACAATTTATTAAAAATTGATCTCATGCATTATAAGGTTATACAAGAAATTCTTCATTTACATTTTATTCTGGCAGTTCCAGTCTAGTTTAAAGCATTTGTGCACTAACATCATTGGAAAATGCCATTGGGGCACAGCCTCTTCATAAATTTACAGTACATTTTTGCTGCAGTAGAAAAGAACAGAAACATTAAATAGCTATATTCACTTGGTTGGTCTTGTTATCTGCAGTAAAGTAAAAAAAATAATAATAAATGTTATGGGAGAAACTACAGTATCATTGAGACAAAGAATGTACTGCATGGTTGAAACCTAATAAACGTCACACAGTCAGTATTCACGAAGTTACAGACACACACACACACACACACACACACACACACACACACACACACACTCACCTCCAATGGTCCGATACTTCTGAATTATTTTTTTTCCTGCTAAATTGGAATAATATTTCTACAGAGATCTTTGTGTATACATTATATACAATATTGTAATTTTCTCTTTTTAAAAAAATTAACATTCCTTTTAAAATAAACCACGCCCTGATGATATTAATAAAGCAAGAGAATACTGTCAACACACATTGAGTGACAACGTCAGTGTTTAGTGCTTAAACAGAGTAATGAGTTCTATTTTATTTGTGTTTATACTTACATGTTTTTGTTCTAAAAGCTACAGATATTTCCATAACCTCTCTTACTGTATGTGCCAAGTGAAATATTTTGTGAAGCTCCCGATTGTAAGATTCAGATACATATTCATGTTGGTTTTGGCCACTATGAGGTGTGTTTCATTTTTAATGGAGATTTATGCTAGCTTTTCAAAGCTGCAGTTAAGTCCCTCAGATAATGAACCTCTTCAGCTGTGCTTCAGTCATTGCTGTTCTGTAAATATTCATTGGAATATCATTCCACAGGTTTGGTCTGAGGTGCACAGGCGTTGGTCAAAGAAAATTGAGAGCTCAATGGATGCTTCATGCCTTTTGTTTTCTTTTTGTTTCCCTCGACTCTCAGCTAAAGCCCTGGCAGTGAGATGCCATGTTTCCAGTCCCTTGCAAAAAGGAACTGCACATGTACCTCACCTGTGCCTGAGGGTTTGGCTCCGGAGCTGGTCCAGACAGTCTGCCAATATTGTTCCTCCAGATTACTTCGGTTCAGGGGATGGACTAAAAGTATAAAACCCATTGTTTCTCACAGTCCTTTTAGGATTCAGGTAAAATATTCTATTGGTAAATTTGATTTGTCCTCTCTATTACCTGCTACAATTGTCACACATGCAGGTACAAAGCAAACATAGTGTATATTCACACCTATGTGTGCTGCAGGCTTTGCCTGCAGCAGGAAAGTGCTGTGCCCTAATCCCTCCCCCCGCCCTAGTCCACTAAGTTAATTTTATCGTAATTATGTGTGACATAAGTAAAACAAACTGTGAAAAACAATCCACCCTGTGACATTAAGACCTTACTACCCATCTGTCCTCAGCTTCTTGAGTTATCAGCCCTAGGACTTTTCCAGACAGTTTAGTACATTATGGTTCGTTGTGTTTATTCTGAAATAGGTGCAGAAACTTTGCTAAAAAGGAAGCTGCAGATGGTCAGCAGTAACTACCACCATCCCTGGAGTAGGGTGAAGTGCTCCACCTCCCACCAGCAGCTCTCCAGCTGGTGACAACTCAGAGCTGAAGCTTCAGCCTCTGCTTGGGTCTCGCATACAGCTGCAAGCTAGAGGTGACCCTGCTCACAGCACTGCAGAGTCTCAATGACACTTGAGGAATAATTTCTCACAATCCTTCTTTCTTATCAAACACCGTCCCTGAAATGAAAACAAGCAAGACTAACCAGTGCAGAATGTTTCCAACAATTTAACACAATTCTTGTAAAAATGAGTGTATCTATTTCAATAAATATGGTATAGCTCAACCCTTGTATGTTCCTTACATGGATACAGTATAGAATTGCATGTTCTCAGTAGCCACATAAAGCCCAGTGACATTTGAGTGCTTTGTTTTGTTTTCCCAGTGTCTTTTTTGCAAGATCCGTATTTCCCAGCCTTCTTGTTACGAGTAGAAATTTGGGAAGCAACGTTTTTGAGTGACTTCTATGTGAAGAAATAAAAACTCCATGAATAAGGCTACAGATCAAACTCCTTGTGTCCTTCTCCTTTGCCTCCCCACACGAGTTACACGGGCACTCCTGTGATGACGGCCTCGGCGGCGATTCCTCCGCGGTAAGAGCCAAATGTTACATGTTTTTCTAGCAGAGTTCTAGGTCAGATGTTTAAGTCCAGTCACTGAGTACGTAAAAGCAGTCCAGGAAGCACTGATCTCCCTTTTTCCTACAGCCCTGACACCATGACTCGGAAGGAGGGTGGCACGTGCCTGTGCCGAGGGCTGGCGCTGGGGCTGACGCAGGGGCTGGCACAGCTGGCATCAACACCTCCTATGGATGGCAGGTAGGCGTGGTGGAGGATGGGCAGCTGCAAAGACAGCCGGCGCTGTATGCTGGGGGAGAGGTGGAGAGAGAGGGAGAGGAGCTTTAGCCAAGAGGAGAACGGAATACATGACATGCTTGATATGCCTGCAGGTTGATGCTGCAATAGAAAGGGTTAACGCCCTCGCAGAGAGCATGTTGAGCTAGCTACTCCAGTGCTATTTCCCCTGGGGGCATTTTTCTGACAGGCTAGACATGACAAACAAATCTAATTCTCAGTATCCCACAGCCTTCTGAAATTCGCCAGCACTTTCAGGTTAATTGTCAGACCGCGAATATCAGAAAAAGGGGAAAGCTTAAGTTTGCAACGAGGGCATATGGCTTAGCAACCCTCGCCCCTCTCAAAGTCATCTGCTCCATACAGAGCCCCAGGTGACTGGGTAGACATGCAAGAGGTCACAGGCTGAGTTTGAAGCAGTGCATCACTTACCACGAGGATGTTAGAATTAAGATGTTAGATGACACTGTTTCAACTCCAGCTAAGGCAAACACAGGTGCCCAGAGGGCGGGAAAGAAGGAGGGAGGAAAGGAGGGAGGGAAGGAATTCAGACCGGCAGCTATTTCCAAGTAGTTCCTCTTTGCCGTTTAGGCCTGTGATTTTTGACATGCTGGAGGCTCTCACGTTCCTACAGTCAGTGCTGTGGGACTGAGGAGCTAGCACTTTAAAAGCAGCCTGACCTACCACCTACACCAAAATTCAGTATTTAGGTACCAAACATTCTGTATCCAGTTTCCCTAGAAGTCTGACTTAATAGTAACAGGAAGAGCTTTGGAAACTAAACCTTGATCTCAGCCCAACTAATCCCCCTTGGTGGAGAGGACAGTGCCATGAGACACAGGCTCTGCTACCCCCGTGCTGTGGAGATACTGACACCTTACACAAAATCAAAATTCAGTTGAGGTTTGTTAGTGCAAGAGAAGTTTTCAGTGATTAAGATGTTATCATACTGGGCTTGCTTCTGCATTTGGAGATACTAACTCTTGAAACATGCAGAGACTTTTAAAAGAGAAGATAGATGTCAAAGTGACAGAGCTGAATTGAAGACCAGCTTTTTGATTCCAGAAGAAAAATGCCCATTCAAAGCATTGTATCAGTACAATAGAGCTTTAAATTTATATTTTCCTGATATCTGTTATAATGACTGTGTATTGACGGTCCCTTCTAAGAAGTGTACATTTAAAAGCTTGCCTTTGGACAGTCTTTCTGATTCAAATGACATTTCATTTCTTTTTTGCTTTGTGTTAGGAAGTGGGGACAGTTAAAAAGGCATCTATAGCACTGCTTGGGGACCAAGCAATATAGCTTTCAAATTCAAACAAAATTAAATGTAATGATGCTTCTTTTTACTTTCCTCACTACAAACTAAGGGTTATTTATACAGGGATGTGGTAGGAATAGTTGTAGTTTGCCTAGCTGGGAAATTCTTGTACATTTTTCCCCCCCTCAAACTAATTTTAAAAGTTTTATGCAATATTAAACTGCAGTGTTGATCACTGTAGTGCTGGCAATGCATACCCAGGATTAAACAAAATCCATTCATTGTCATTTTGCTACTGTGCTCAACTCTTCCTGGTGCTATCAATGAAATCACGCCTTGTTCCCAAGGATTGCAGAGGTGGCACAGCTTGCTGATTCCATGGGCTGAATCCTTATGAGCCTGACACTGCAGATTGTTGTTCTTTCTCTTGTTGCAGGGTCAAAGGCAGAGTTGCCCGTCCTTATTTTCCCACCGGTGGAAAGGCTTCCTTCGCTCAACTGTTACAGACTTCTCATCAAAGACCTTTTTGAAGCTATTCCATGGGAATCCTGTTGCATAATCAAATGAATGGGACTTTTTTTTCATCCATTTAAGTCTTAGCTATACCATGGACAAAGCATGTTTATTTGGCCAAGCCAACAGTGGCTGCAGTGGGTGGCAAGTTTTTGCTTTAACTGTACTTAATGTTTACTTTCACTTCAAAACTTCGTTCCTGGAATTGAGGCAGAGGGCTGTAGCTTGGCGACTGGTTCACAATTAAAAGTTTAGGCAAAGGGAAAACCAAAACAAACCAAGAAAAGTAACAAAATCCAAAGCAAACTGCTAGTTTCTCCTTAAATGAAAGCAAATCTTGTAACGTGCCTCCCTGTGTGTGGCTTTTTCCCTCTCCAGCATGAGTGCTTTTCCCCTTCCTCCAACCCTGCTGCATTTTGTCAGTGCTTTTCAGGATGGTGGCATACAATTTGTTTTGAGTTGCTTGTTTAACATAGATATGGCAAAGCATATGGTTGAGTATGTTGGGGTGAGAATGGTTAGTGTTGCTGGTTTTCTGCAAGCACTGAAGGAGATGGAAAGGAAAGGTAGTGCTGTACACAGAGCACTTATCAGGGTACTGTGTTAGAACAGGGTGTGTATCTGCAGCTCTGTACCAAAAAGCCATTTACCAGGGATAAATTAAATCAAGTGAAAACTTGACTTCTGGTGTCAATGCACATAGGAACACAATGTAATGCTCATGGGAATGCAGGATGCTACAAAAGGGGCAGAGGCATTTGAAAAATAATTCACCTCTGCTATACAAAACTACTGACGAGATCCATCAATAAGTGGGAAGACTGGAACAACTGCTGCTACAGTCAAACACCTGAAGATCTGGGGGAGTGTGTAGCTGTGTCTAATCATTTGGGCATTATTTCAGCAATTTCTTCAGCCCATTAATGTTGATTTTTAGCAACTGCTGGGAAGCTGGAAAGTTCCAAAAGACAACAATAATTCAAGATATTATAATAGCAAGTAAAGGAATAATTCTAAATCTGCCTTATTTAAATGACAGATTTGAGTAGGATCGTAGATAGACTAATATGAACCACTGTCAGTGAAGAAACTGAATAAAGGCGGCATGTTCTTGCCAAGGCATATGGCTATAATGCAATAATCCTGTCATAACTAACTTTTTAAAATGAGAATTTTTGGTTACTGACTAAAATTGACATAACTGGCTCCAGCAAGGTATTTGGCTGTCTTTTAAATGCTGCTAAAAGCAGAACTTTAGCTAAAAAAATATCAAGGTAGTTTCTGTTACAAGGGTTACACAGCAATTAGCTGCTTTGAAGGTTACAAAAATGACCACATATAGGAAATAATCTGCACAAATGTCAGATTTCAGTGGGGTCCTGTAGAAATCCATCATCACCTTTACTCAGAGATCTGGAAGACTGCGACACATTCTTGCTGTTACAATAAGAGCAGTATAAAATTTAAGGGTGCCAAAAGCTAATTCACTGAATGTAGGGCCTTGAATGGGACACCATGCAGGAATGAAGATGCACTGAAGAATGTCTTTAAGGGTCATGGAAGATATTCCTTTGAATCTGTGGGGCCATCGTGCAGATAAGCTGACTGATGCAATCTTTAGATAAGTAAGCAGGTCATTATCAGGCTGGAATACAAATAGTATCCTGATTAATATCCCAGCACACTGCATTGATAAAACAGGTACAGAAATAGTATGTCCAGATAAGGTACACCAACCTTCTGCAGCAGGTCACACACCCAAGAGAGTGGAAAGAGTTGACTTTGTGTGAGAGATGACCTGACATACTGGGAAATGAAATATTATATCTATTCTGAACTGGTCCAGGCTGCCTTCTGTGTCTGAGATGAACTGGCATGGTGCAACTCTCACCCCTGCAGGATAAGCTGCCCCCAGACATGACTTCTGAATACCAGACTGTGCTTGAGCATCAGCTGGGAAAGCAGAAGCTGATGCAACTGTGCATTTGTGCAGTGATGCTGTGAGTATGCTGGAAAACCAAAGTGGAGGGCTTGAGCCTGTGCACCAGCACTGCTTTGTCTCCTGCAGGAACTGTTAATTTACATGGTGTAGCCAGTGTGAATGGGAGAGAAAGCAGCCAGCTCCCACTTTTTGCTCCCCATCTCTGATGGTCTGACTGGGTATGGCAAGTTTTACATGATTCTGTGGGTAACCTACCAGGTCCTGCCCAGCAGAAAAGGCAGTAGAGGTAAAGGGAATTGTGTATCATCTAAATTAATGCTCGATGGCTGCTCTATAGTCATACAGACTGCATTTTCCTTAGGTGCAGGGTTCTAAATCTGAGCCAAGCAGAAAATGAATGCTTTTTTCACATTCTGATTGAGAGGATGTAAACAACACCTCATAAACAAATGTGGAAAAATTTCCTGCGCTCCTGAGCCCAATGTGCATGTGGACTGCTGTGCTTTCACTTTGCAAACAACTGTAGAGTAAGAGAGCACATGCAGTTAGTCAAACATAGCAGCAGTGATAAGAAAGAATGAAAAAATCCCAAATCAAACTCTCTTCTGCACTCTACATGAACTTTCAGACTGGCAAACAGAAGCTGTCCTGAGTGCTGTCACAGAAGGGAAGCTGGGATACTTCTTTTTGCTGTTGCCATTAAAGAGTTAACATTTCTGCAGGCAACCTCCTTTCATAGGTTGTTGCAAAGAGGAAATCTTTTTTCAGACTAGTGTCTTCGAGTTCTCTGTTCTTGAAAGAGAAATAGAGCAGATTGTATGACTACTTCTTTATGAGATGCCCTATGTATGCAGTGAAATCAGAAAGATAAGGGAAAAATACAGCTTGTCTTGAATGTTTTTTGTTTTGGTTTTTTTTCAAAAAAATGATGTATTTAATAAGCGTGGAGGGCCAAAAGTGCTGCCAGACAAGTTGGAAAAAAGCACATGCGATATTTTTAAAGAGAAGTTTGGAAAGAGGCAATCTCTTGTCCAACACAGTCACAAAACCCTAGTCCTGAAGATGGTTACACTTCTCCTCTCTGGCAGGACCACTGTGCCTGGGTGGTGTGGCTCTGGTACCCAAATTGTCAAGAAATCTGCAGGGAAGATATTGATCCTTGGACTTGGCACAGCTGTGCAAGTGCTGAATGACACTGTTTTGATTTAGCAGGACTTAATGAATTGCTTTCCATAAATGCCAATGACTGTTCAGATTTGTACTGACCTGCTCTTTAAGACCTTTAGGAAATCTCAGCCTTCTCATCAGTTACTGCTAGCCTAGAGGAGGGTCTGTCATCACCAAATGTTTTTCTTTTTTTTTTTTTTCTGTATTAAGTCTGTATCGGGAGAACTGAATTATCTGTGTCTGTGTTTTTCTCAGCATCTCTCTTAATATAAGGCAGCCATGAGTGGTTGAGGCTGCAGTCACACTACATTATTTCTGGCAAATGGTGCTAGAAAGAGACAGACCTCTAATAGCTCTGCACTAAAGCACTCTGCTGACCCTGTAAAGTCACGAGAACTTTCTCAGTGAGGGCCTTGCTTTTGTGAAAAAACCCACATGTTTCAGCTACTGGAGGCTTTTTTTGAGGCACATATGTGCACATGTGTGTGTGGATTATCTTCTGTGCAGATTTGGTTTGGATTGATTTTTTTTTAGTACAAGGACAGAGTTAGAAATTTGGGCGCTTTCCTGCTCCAGGTATCTCAACAAGGTTGATGTTACCTCAAATCAGGTTTGTTGTCACTGCTGTAACGTGTTGTCACTGATGTAACATGTGCCTCAGTCTAGGAATTTATTTAATTTATTCTGGTTTTAAATAAGCTTTTAAGCTGCCCATGTACAAAACAGGAGTCGGATCGCTATTAGCTCAGATCCAGAAGAAGTGGTGCCCATGTAACTAGGCTGCTTTGGGGAAAGGACTGGTCCAGGGACAAAAAAGCACAGCACTTCCCTGAGCTCTGCCCCCCCGCAGGCCCTGCTGAGCTGGTAGAGAATTTATTATATAGGTTCCTGGAGAGTAAAGCTGATGATACTGTAAGACTCTCTCCCCTCCATGAATCCAGCAAGTGCTTTGTGCCATCCTCTCCTTGTAGGCGCAGCATGGTTTCTAAGGGAAACTCCTCAGTGCAGGCTTTCTTGTGCCAAAACTCAGACCCAGCTGCTATGGCAACGTTGAAAAGCCCAAAGACTGATTTTATTCCTCAGCTTGCTTAAGACTGAAAGAGAGCAAAATGGCTATGTACACCACAAACCCCTCTGGCTGGTGTGTGGAAGGACTTAGATTGTTGACAACAGTCATAACGTTCACACATATGTACATCCTCTTCTCTCCTAAATATACATTGGTGGTTGGGCACAGCTTGTCCTGTAACTCTCTACAGAAACTTTAGACATCATGTTATAGATGTTTCTGCTAAGATAAAATAAGTATGTTAGTTTGCCTCTGGGGCAACCTGGGATCTAGTGCCCCTGATATCCTCTAAACCTGGTGGGGATGGTGAGCTGGGGACAGAGAGGCAGCACAACACAACATTGCTGCCCACTGGTGCTTCAGGACTTGGCATTCATATCTTCTGTTGCTGTTGGATGGCCCAGATTCTCTTTGTACCTGAGGCTGACTTAAGTGGTTTACAGTGAAGGCCTTCCCATAAAAATGCATGAAAGATAAATATGGGGTTTGATGACATGTAATCATTTAAATGAATGTTTTATCAGCAAGGAAGAGAGTGTCCAGGAGGGAACTGATGGCTAAAAGAGTATGCACACGAGCCCATGCATACCCGAGAGAGTGGACCTTTCTCTACCAGCATGTAGTGGTGTATACTTACTGTTCTGGAGAGTTGATGTCTTCTATAGGGTCTTTGCTTGTTCTGGAAGGGTCTGATGAGCCCCATTGTGCTGGTGGATTTTGATCAAGATGATTTTTCAAAATGGCTTTCTCACCATCTAAATGGATAACAAATTCAATTTTACTTTACTGTGACCAAGTAACTGTTTTTAAGTTGTTTCATTTTAAAATGCCCCAGATGTTCATAATGCTATGAAGTAAACCCTTTCTGCCTATATTCCAATACAGTCTTAGATTTCCCCAGGAGTCCTTGGTACTCAGGCTTTCAGTGATGTGCTCTTTCATCGGAACCACCGTAAAGAAACAGAAAAGGGACAAAACCTCTTTTGTCCTTCTTTTGCTTTCCCCCTACCTTTAAAAAAAAACATACATGAAGCAAACCTTGTTGCTCACCTCTATGTAGCCCTATCATGCTCTTTCACCTAGTCTTAGACTGTGTAAAAAAACCAATGTAACTGCACCTTATTATCTTGCACTAAAAAATTGCTACCTTTCCATATGAAAAAACCCTCTTCTTTAAGTGTTTTCCTAGAAAAAGCTATAATCTCATTGATGTATAGAATCTTGATTCTCTTGCAATCACATAAGCAATGAAGTGCCATCATTTAACTACCTGCTATCATGCAGCACAGAAATACAACTCATATCAGTTGCACTGGTCCATAGGCTGTCTGCAGGAAGGGCAGCTAGTGATGTCCTGAGAGTCCCTGGCTAGCTGTGGCATTGGTCCCCCCAAGAAATGTGGACAGAGACAGCCATTTTAAGAAGGCTGTCTTCACCAGGGAGCTTTTCTGTTCCTGCCTGCTTTTCCAAAGTCTCCTGCTGTGTTAAGCCAAATAAAGTCACATGGAAAACATCTGAGTAATGAGGACAGCACACAGTTTTCATAAATAATTACAGAGCAGCTCCAAATCCATCACTGGCAGTTGTTTGCCACACATACAGAGAAACAGTGATTGCTGCAGGCATTAAGGCAGCATGGAAGAGGACTCGAAGGTAAAAACGGGAAAAGCACACTGGAGGATTTGAATATAAAAATGGGGGGGGGGGGAATGCAGGAAAATATTGAAGAGAAAATGAAAATAGCATTAAAAACCCAGTGCATACTGAAGGCTTAAGCTGCTTTTCTGCTCTCCTAAAGCTCAGAAGCCCTAAATATGCTCAGGTCCCAGCACACTCACAATATCTACATTATCAGTGAGCACAGCAACAACACTAGTGGGACAAAACAGGCAGCAGAAACAAAGAGTGAGGAAAGAAGGTGGAAGCAGAACCAGGAACGCTTTGAGGGCAAACTTCAACATGTATAATTGCCCTCCCAGCGAGGGCAGCCCTGGCAGTTTTGTAGCATTCACAGCCTGCTGTGAAACACGTAACAAGCCACACTGATAGCAGCGAATAGGTGAGGTGTGCAAAAGTACAGGCATGGGGATCACTACAGCTCAGAAGATCAAGAAAGAAGATTTTTCACTCATTTTGCAAGGTAGACAAGGGTCCGGGCCAGAAAGGAGGTGAGCGAAGCACATGAAGCTGCTTCTGTTGGTGCAAGAAAATGTCAGCAAAGGAGAGCTAGGAAATTCAGTTATAGCAAGAGGAGTGCTTAAAAGGAAGATATGACAGGATCCAGTGATGGTTTAGACATGAAGGGAGGACAGCAAAGAGACAAATCTGACAGTGGCTAAGATAAGAAATGAAATCTACCATCTCAAGGCAGCCTGAAGCTTGCTGGTGTGGCATTTGCTGTCACTAGAGTTCAGTTTTTATTTTCCATATATCACATTTCTGTGTCTATTGAGCTTGACATTTGCATAAAAACCTTGTGATGTGTATAAACAGACACGTAGAAAAGACTTTTTACTTCCATGATGCAATACAAAAACAATGTTCAATCCTGAGCTGATCCAAGATGACAATGAAAACTGCTGACTTTAGGGTACAGACCAAAGTTAAAATCTGAGTAATCCTTGTAATTAGGGATAGAAAAGGTCTATTATTTATCTATTTTAGGGTCCCAAGTACTTTGGCCAAGATAAGCAATTTAACTTTTACAAGGCTACTGAAGATACAATTCTTAATCAAATGACTGGAATATGTAACTTGGGGGCTTTCTGATACAATTTCATATATTAATCTGTGTTGTACACCCCTAAAGGGGCTTCTTATGCTTTCAGTTGTGCTGTGAGGGAGAGGGAGAGAGAAGGAGGTGGTCCCTGTCAAAAAGGTGGGGGATTTAAATTAAAGTAGAGCAGAAATCTTACATTCTCTGCCTACTCACCCCTCAACACCAACTGCCCGTATATGACTGTGTTATTCTTACTAGACCCTTCTCTGCCACTCTTGCAGATGACTTAATACACTGCATATATTTCTGTATACAAGGTTACCATATATAAGTATTAATGTACTAGGTTAAAAAAAATGCAAATAAAATCAACTTATAACTGCCACAGTCTGGAGAGTGTTTTCTTTTCCTTTGCTTTTCCTTAAGCTTTTTGGGAGAGGAATTGTTGGATTTTTATTCTGCAGCTATGGAAACTGGAATATCTTTCTTTTTGCCTTACTCTTTTATTAATTTTAATTAATTAATAATATATTCTTTTATTTACTTATTTATTTATTTATTTACCTTTCATTTAAACAATGAAGAGTAAGATTCTCACTCATACACTTCCAGGAGCTTAAGGAAAAAACACTATCACCATATGCACTTAAAAAACTTAAGGATGGAAAAAACTGAAATCATACACATGAACAACTGAAAGAAATTAAAGCAAGGATAACCACAAACATTTGGGTTCCAAATTTCCCCTGGGAAGTGCAGCACTGCTTTTAGTACTTCCCCAACTTTTCTTTCTCTGTTCATAAAGTATACCTCTTGAAAAATGCCCCTGATTCTCTGGGCACATTTGCCACTGCAGATGCTACCAAGTTGCACTGGAACGATCTAACTACCTTCAAAATTGAATTTGCATTAGCCAGAAGCAGTTTCTAAGTAATCTTTACCTTTTTAGACCTCAACCCGGAACTCAGAAGTCTGGATAAGTGATACCTGAGAACTTTCCATTCAGAAAGCCGTCGGGGAAAGGAAGACAAATAGATCTCAAGGGCCTCACATGGCCCTCACTGATGGGTTCATTAGAAAGGAAAACCTAGTGCACAGCTGTCGGTGAGAGCCAGAAGGCTTTGGTTCAGGACCTTTGCTCACCTGCAGCTGAGAAACAGCTTCCAACTACAAAGCTTGGAGCTGCATGAGCACATCCAGTGCCGGCTGCCGAGAGGCTCAGAGACAAATCTGACAGTGGCTAAGATAAGAAATGAAATCTACCATCTCAAGGCAGCCTGAAGCTTGCTGGTGTGGCATTTGCTGTCACTAGAGTTCAGTTTTTATTTTCCATATATCACATTTCTGTGTCTATTGAGCTTGACATTTGCATAAAAACCTTGTGATGTGTATAAACAGACACGTAGAAAAGACTTTTTACTTCCATGATGCAATACAAAAACAATGTTCAATCCTGAGCTGATCCAAGATGACAATGAAAACTGCTGACTTTAGGGTACAGACCAAAGTTAAAATCTGAGTAATCCTTGTAATTAGGGATAGAAAAGGTCTATTATTTATCTATTTTAGGGTCCCAAGTACTTTGGCCAAGATAAGCAATTTAACTTTTACAAGGCTACTGAAGATACAATTCTTAATCAAATGACTGGAATATGTAACTTGGGGGCTTTCTGATACAATTTCATATATTAATCTGTGTTGTACACCCCTAAAGGGGCTTCTTATGCTTTCAGTTGTGCTGTGAGGGAGAGGGAGAGAGAAGGAGGTGGTCCCTGTCAAAAAGGTGGGGGATTTAAATTAAAGTAGAGCAGAAATCTTACATTCTCTGCCTACTCACCCCTCAACACCAACTGCCCGTATATGACTGTGTTATTCTTACTAGACCCTTCTCTGCCACTCTTGCAGATGACTTAATACACTGCATATATTTCTGTATACAAGGTTACCATATATAAGTATTAATGTACTAGGTTAAAAAAAATGCAAATAAAATCAACTTATAACTGCCACAGTCTGGAGAGTGTTTTCTTTTCCTTTGCTTTTCCTTAAGCTTTTTGGGAGAGGAATTGTTGGATTTTTATTCTGCAGCTATGGAAACTGGAATATATCTTTCTTTGCCTTACTTTTTTATTAATTTTAATTAATTAATAATATCTTCTTTTATTTATTTATTTATTTATTTATTTACCTTTCATTTAAACAATGAAGAGTAAGATTCTCACTCATACACTTCCAGGAGCTTAAGGAAAAAACACTATCACCATATGCACTTAAAAAACTTAAGGATGGAAAAAACTGAAATCATACACATGAACAACTGAAAGAAATTAAAGCAAGGATAACCACAAACATTTGGGTTCCAAATTTCCCCTGGGAAGTGCAGCACTGCTTTTAGTACTTCCCCAACTTTTCTTTCTCTGTTCATAAAGTATACCTCTTGAAAAATGCCCCTGATTCTCTGGGCACATTTGCCACTGCAGATGCTACCAAGTTGCACTGGAACGATCTAACTACCTTCAAAATTGAATTTGCATTAGCCAGAAGCAGTTTCTAAGTAATCTTTACCTTTTTAGACCTCAACCCGGAACTCAGAAGTCTGGATAAGTGATACCTGAGCACTTTCCATTCAGAAAGCCGTCGGGGAAAGGAAGACAAATAGATCTCAAGGGCCTCACATGGCCCTCACTGATGGGTTCATTAGAAAGGAAAACCTAGTGCACAGCTGTCGGTGAGAGCCAGAAGGCTTTGGTTCAGGACCTTTGCTCACCTGCAGCTGAGAAACAGCTTCCAACTACAAAGCTTGGAGCTGCATGAGCACATCCAGTGCCGGCTGCCGAGAGGCTCGGCGAGGAGGTCACTGCTCCCAGCTGCCCACCTCTCCCTCTGCCAGGGGTGACGCTCCCCTCAGACCTGCCGTGCCTATAATTGCTCTGCAACCTGGTTCTCCCAAAATTACCAGGGCTGGCTTAAACGTGTCGTGCATTTTAACAACCCCTCTTCAGCTGCCAGCAGAAAACACCAGGTGACTGTCCCTGC